TTAAAATATAGAAATATCTAAATATCTAAATATTTTACATAATATTTATTTGTAAACAAAAAATTACATAATATTTATTTGTAAACAAAAAATTAATATTTTGTAAACTTTTCTATAAATATTGCACATGAAAAAAATAAATATAATTATTTATAATTATTAAATTAATAAAGAAATAAGAAAATCTAAATTTAAATTGGTAATGTACATTAGAAAAAAATTCTTTAAATGAAAGAAATATATTTTGTTACATATAATTTCTTAACTTAAAAAAATATTTGTTAAATTTTAGAAAATATATAATAAATATAAAGAAATATTTTTTTAAATTTGTAAAATAAGCTGTAAAATTATGAATTTATAAATAAAAAAAGTGATTTCTTTGATTTAAAATATCTATATATATAAGAATAAACAAATGATTTCTTTACAAGGAGAAAATTAGTGTTTTTAAATGTAAAAACTGTTTAAATAAATATTTGCTTGTTTTAAAAGTAAATAAAATACAAGTAAATCATTTTATAAATCTGAATAAATTATTTTCTAATATTAAAAGTATTTTTTTATGTTTCAAATTAAAGTTTCTTTTATTATCAGAAAAAAATTTATTTAAATTTACAAAATAATTTATTTTACTTACTTTTAAAACATGTAAATATTTTTTAAATATACTTTCTACATACTTTTTAAAACATATATTTTAAAAGAATCTATTCTCTTCTTTTAAATAAATCATATGCTTTCGTATATGGATATACCATATGTACACAATATAAAGCGTCTCTCAATCAAAGTGACAGTGACGCAGTAGGTAAGGTGAACGACACAAGAATCAGCCCAAGTAACAGACTCACGTCAAAATGACGTAAAAAACTGGTCATAACTGGTCGAATGACGTCAAGTGACTAAATAACGACGTCTTTAAAACGTCTTTTTTGTGACATCTTAATGACGTTTCTGTATAACGTCTTAAAAACGTATTATTGACGTTTAGAGACGTCATAAAACGTCATTAAGTCGTCTAAAATGTCGTCATCGATCTGTGACATTAGACTATCATTTTGACGATATTCTCACGATATTTTTGATCATTCCTTGGTTATTTTTTATCCTGAACTTACTTAGATTTGGATGTCATTTTGACGTGTCTGCTACCTGGGAGAGGTCTCAGGCTCGAATCTCAGCAATGCCCATACAGCACAGAAGCTTGCAGCAACATTGCTACAACGTTGCAAGATTGCATATTGC